CTCTCTCTCTCTCACACACACACACACTCACACACGCACACACACATTAATAAAATCTCTCTCACTCTCACTCTCTCATTAATGAAGCTCACTTTAACATCCTTATAAAAAAGGAAAAAGAAAAGAAAAAAAAAACATATTAAGCCAAAATAATGAGACTGCCCACGAGATTGCTCAAAAAATGTCTTCATGTTCCAAGTACAGATTAAAGTGGGGACGCTCGACTTTCTAATTTGAGGGTAAAACAGTAAATTTCTGCTGCGAAAGCTTGGAATGGGAGGTTACTTTAAGGAAGAAATTTTTCGGCGGGAGGAAAAATGAAAAAAGACGATATAAATTATAGAGGAGGAGGAAAGAAAGAAACACCACACTATAATATATGTAAAACATATATAATATATATATATATATATATATATATATTATATATAATATATATATATATATATATATATATATATTCATACACAACATGCATATGTTATATAATATCACAGTGTGTGTGTGGTTGGCAGTGTGTGTGTTGTGCCGTGTGTGCTGGTGCTTGTGTGAGAGTGTGCAGAGAGAGAGAGAGAGAGAGAGAGAGAGAGAGAGAGAGAGAGAGAGAGAGAGAGAGGAGAGAGGAGAGAGAGACGAGAGAGAGAAGAGAGAGAGAGAGAGAGAGTGCGATCGCTGCGGCGTGCGTGTGTGTACATACATGCATTTATATGGTATATATCCGGCTAATCTTCATGAACTGACTGCTCGTATGATAAAAGATTCAAGACCGTGAGACAACTTGAAAGTGACGAAGAAGAATGGGAGAATTCAAATTGTATTCATATTAAGAAATCGAAAAAGCGAATACACTTGAAAAACGCTTAAACGAGTCCAACTTTCCGCAGAAATAGTTCCCTAAACTGCGATTTATCTAAACTTCCCTATTTGCATCACTTCTAAGAAACAATAAGACCACTTAACATCAAACAGAACCAAGGAGAAAACGCTCGACCATGCAAAAAAGACATTCCCCCTTCAAGACAAAAAAGACATTCCCCCTTCAAGACAAAAAAGACAATCCCCCCTCAAGACAAAAAAGACATTCCCCCTTCAAGAAAAACAGAGATAAAAATAGACAGAACTAAGAGATAAGTAGATAAAAAACGGCCCTTATTTGAACAAGAGAGCGACCCTGTTCATCGCGAATATGCAGAACCAATCAGAGAGGATCGGACTTGCCTCGGTGATGAGTCTAAGCCATTAAAAGGGGTATTACGGCGTACTGACTCCTCGCGACTCCGGAGATGAACTTTTCGGACGGGATGACTCGGAGAGAAGGGAGACGGGGTGGAATAGGGAGGAGAGGAAATGGGTGGGGATAATAGGAGATGAGGAGAGGAGAGACGAGGGAAAAGGAGAAGGAGAAAAAGAGGACTGAAAAGACATTATATGGATAAAGGAGGATGTGAAAAGGACGGTGGGAAGGAACGAAAGAAAGAAGAACGAGGGGGGACGGAGAAGTAGAAGGAAGAGGTGAGCGGGAAGGATAGAGTATAAGTGAAAAAGACTAAAGGAATAGTAGAAGAAGGAAGAAGAAGAGAGAGAGAGAGAGGGGAGAGAGAGAGAGAAGATGAGAGTAAGAGTAGAAGAGAGGAGAGGAGTAAGAGAGCAGCTAGATGAAGAAGAGAGTATAGTATAAAGAGATGAAGAGAGAGAGAAGAAGAGAAGATATTATAGAGATGAGGTATATTATGATAATATAAGCGCGGTATAGATACAACTATGTTTATAAAGAGTATACATAAAGCATATGTGTATATATATAGTAGTAATATATATATATAGTATATATATACTATATTATATGTAGGCACATACTGGTGCAAGTGTAATGTATAGGAGTAGTATAATATATAGATATATATGACTAATAAATAGTGATATATAGGGGGAGTAAGGAGAGAGAGAAATTATATAAGCTAGAATCCAAATGACCGTCCTTTTCTGCCTGTCTGTCCATCTCATACCGCTTCTCTCAACTTCAAAAGTTCCTGTCTTCTAAATCCATTTTTTTTTCTCTCTCAAACAAACTTCATCCTCCCTTTCAATTTTCTTTTTTCTCGCAATCTTGGTCTGAGAACTTGATTCGCCTCGAAAAAAATGAGAGAAAAAAAGACGGCGATCTTCCCCGTCATAAATCTGTGTCCGGCGCCGTTACTGTTTTTCGGCGAGACACGTCCCTCTCGATGTGCGGCGCGGTGAGTGTTTTTCGGCGAGACACGTCCCTCTCGATGCGCGGCGCGGTGAGCTTTCGTGACGAATCGAGGAAAGGCAATGAGGTGGAATAAAGACGTCTTTTCCTTTCTAATTACCTGGTTTACGTCGTCCTCGCAGAGAGCTCGAACCTCATTGATTTCGTCCTTAACCCGATCCATCCTTCCACCTGGTCCACCGGCTCACGTCGTCCCACCAAAAACGAGAGTGCGAGCAACCGATCAGCGTCGTTACCTCAAGACTCACCTCACTCGTCCCAAACTCACAACCTCACGTATCGACCCTCACAATAAAAAACTTATCCCCTCACAATCAGTCCTCAAACTCACCCACTACATTCAATATCACAAAACAAATAGTCATTTTCAAGTTCTACCCAAGCTCACACTTACATTTCCTCCTCAAAAGGTCACCCTTCACGTCCTCCTCAAACCCACCCACACGTCGCCCTCGAGCTCACCGCCGCAACAGCAGTCAGTGATCGAAGCATGAGAGATCCGCGAGGAATAAAGAATGAGGAAAGTCTTAAGAAAAGCGGATATTGCGTATTTGTGGAGGAGGAGGAGGCGAGGGAGATAAACGCAGAAAGAAGAGGGGAGAAAGTGGAAGGAAAAAGGCTGAAAGCAAAGGAAAGTGTAAGGAAAAGAGCTGAAAGGAAAAGGAAGAAAGTGTAAAGAAAGAAAACTGAAAGCAGAGGGGAGAAAGTGGATGGAAAGAAACTGAAGCAAAAGGAAGAAAGTGTAAGGAAAAAAGTTTGAAAGCAAAAAGAGTGA